GGAGGTGAGCCAACACATCCCGGGTTCCCTCACCTCTCGATCCTGTGACAGGGGGAGGGGCTGGATTCCCCTCTCCCCGCTCCGATCTGCCAGCGCTGACTGGCGGAACGGACGGGGGAGGGGGCGGGTACAGCTGGCTCTGCCTCTAGATAGGCAAAGCCAGCTGTCACTCACGCAGCTGGGCGGATCCCGACGTCGATGTCGGGATCCGCTCCGGCTGCGGCGTCTCAGTATACCGCGAGCTGTAGCTCGCGGTATACTGAGATTAGGGTAACAGGAGGACGCTAGTTTGTGTGCTCCCGTTACCCTAAGGAGAACTATGGGGAAAAACACTGACCCTATAGTTCTCCTTTAAGGACTGAAAAGCTATAAAGCAGGTACTTAACATACCAGAGGGAGCTTCAATAATTTTATTCACAACTAACAAAATTAGAAAAAAATTATATTAACCCCGCATCACATCCCTCTGTATACAATAAAAATTGAGTAACGTTGCCGATCACATTCATTCATCTCAGCACATACATTGCCTGTATATTGCCTGATAAATCTGATGTTGAAAATATCCTACATGGATATTGAAGTTATAAACTTTGCTTTACTATGGAAAAAGAACGGACTATCCTTGTAATAAAGAATTATAACACCATATACATGCAAGATGAGACAGAGCGGGAAGTCCCGGGAAGGAATTTCAGCTGACTCCTCACTTGATCATATAAATTACAATGTAACTTTCTGTTAGATCTTGACACAGCTGTTAGTTATTTAGACAACTCACAGGGGGGATATCTCCTTCCCGAGGATGATTTAACTTGCAGCCATAGAACATGTATAGCAGTATGACATTGCAGTGCTTATATAGATGAACAATAATAAAATGGTATATTCTTCATATTCAGAGGTAAGCCGTTGCCATATGACATGTTGTAACACACTTGAACAGTCCCAGAAGTGTTAATTAGCAACCAGCCACAATCATTCAATGATCAAATGCTGCTATTCACAAATTATTTTGTTACTGCATAAAGGATATTATTTAATCCAGATCTTACAATCAAAGATACTCTAGACCTGAGCGTCCTTTCAGTAAAATAAAAAAATGAAATATTTATCTGGTCTCCTAAGCATATACAATGGCCCGCTAACAAGCTGGGGCTGTTTACTCACGGTACTTTTCACATGTTCTTTGTCCGGCTTTACATAAATAAGTCCACTCCTTTAGGAGGAATGTCCTTCCAGGTATATACCGTTTAGTCTCCCACAGGTTTTGTCATTTCATAAGTTGTTTGAAGTTTACGGCGGTACTGCCATTTCACAGCCGATTTAGACAGGCAATTTCTTCAATATAACAGGCATGAAGTGTCTTGATGGAACAAGACGAAGACCCGTGAGAGGGGCGAAACGCGTCAACGTAGTGTTCCATCAAGATGCTTCATGCCTGTTATATTGAAGAAATTGCCTGTCTAAATGAGCTGTGTTACAACATGTCATATGGCAACAATAACGGCTTACCTCTGAATATGAGGAATTTACGGTCTTATTGTTTATATAAGCACTGCAATCTCATGCTGATATCCATGTTCTACAGCTATAAGTTAAATCATCCTCGGGAAGGAGATATCTCCCCTGTAAGGAGTTGTCTAAATAACTAACAGCTGTGTCAAGATCTAACAAAGTTGCATTGTAATTTATATGATCAAGTGAGGAGTCGTCTGATATTCCTTCCCGGGACTTCCCTTTCTGTCTTATCTTAGTGTTATAATTCTTTATTACAAGGACAGTCTGTTATTTTCCATAGTAAGGCAAAGATCATAACTTTAATATCCGTGTATTTTCAACATCAGATTTATCAATATACAGGCAATGTATCTGTTGAGATGAATGAGTGTGATCGGCAACGGC